GGCGCCATGAATTATGGAAACGACATCAAATGTCACAAACCCACCGATATCCTCAAAAACTGGCACACGCAGTAATAACTCCATTGGCGTTATTATAGTTTTCCACTGCCGACAGACGGCAACGATAAAATAAAACGTGGTTTGTTATTTTTTTAGCCAAAAAAAATAAAAAATAAACAGACCATAGAAAATCACTTTCAGAGGGATCTGGAGTTCGTGGCTGAAATGTGTAAACAGTGCAGGTCCACTCTGACTGCCCAGCTCTCATTAGCCAAATAATAAAAGAACACATGGGCTGATTAATAAACATCCATCTGAATACAGCACCACTATTAATACATGGAACAGTAGACTACACCCATTCCATGATTAGACTCTTAAAAAGATGGTTCTTCAGGGTTCTTTAGTAAAGAAAACACGACAGAAATATAGAAACACGAACACTCGAACGATTTGGATGCTTAAATGGTTCTTGGCATGGTGAACTGGTTCTTCATACATGCTGAACGTATTGGTTCTATGGGTTTTCCTATTGTTGCAGCCTTGACATTGTATCAATAGAAAAACTCTTTTTGGTGCTATGTAGAACCAACATCATCAATCTGAGGAACCATTCTGCCATGCCAAGAACCATTTAAGCATGCAAGTGGTTCTTTGAGTGTTCATGGTTCTACATAGAACCATTTTCTTGACTAAAGAACCTTTGAAGATCTTTTTTAAGAGTGTAGGCTGCATCTCTTTGCAGAAACACTAGGTCTACCACTAGTTACACTGTGCTCTTTTCCATGGCTACACTACACCCATTTCCATGGTTACGCTACACCCATTACCATGGTTACATTACACCCATTTCTATGGTTATGCTACACCCATTTCCATGGTTACGCTACATCTGTTTCCATTACACGACACCCATTTCCATAGTTACGCTATGCTCTTTTCCATGGTTACACTACACTCATTACTATAGTAACACTACACCCATTTCCATGGTTACGCTACACCCATTTCCATTTTTACATTACATCCATTTCCATGGTTACGCTACACCCATTTCCATTACACGACACCCATTTCCATAGTTACGCTATGCTCTTTTCCATGGTTACACTACACTCATTACTATAGTAACACTACACCCATTTCCATGGTACCTACACCCATTTCCATGGTTACGTTACACCCATTTCCATGGTTACGCTACACCCATTTCCATGGCAAGTTAGCTATGTAGCATTAAAGTTATATAATATGTTATACCATAACTGTTTATTAACGATAATTGCTTATTTACAAAAGCTTTCAACTTCACTTTCCCACGTTTCTCAAACCAGAACCACAACAAAGATTAAGCTCAGGCTGAATGAAGTCACTCAGAGTGACCAGTCGGACTCCTGCTGCCAGTGTAAACATCGCAGAGGGGAAAACAAAAGGAAAATGGGTGAGAAAACAAAAACAAGGCTAAGGAGTGTTTCTCAGGACAAAAGCTGTCAGCCTCGGAATTTCCAAACAATGGAAAACAATGAATGTCAGAGCGCAGGCAGGGCTCCTCTCTGAGCCGATGCCACAGCAGACGGGAAATCAATTCTGACGGGTTCAGCACAAAAACCGACGAGGACAAGAACAAAAGGATGTGAGCGTCGCTGACGGGGCTCAACTTCTCCTCTTTTCATCCTCCCCTCATCCTCTCATCATCTGCCAATAGTCCAATCACCGCGCTGTCGAAGCGCCTGGAGGAAAAAAACAGCGCAAAGCATTCGGCTGCAAACAAAAACCAATTTCAAGGTGACAGTGAATTTTCCATCCGCCGTGAAGTGTTTTCCAGATTTCATTCACAGCGCTGTGTCACCTTGTGTTCTCATACGTTCTCAGTTCAGTAACGTTCTGACTGTAATACAGAGAAACAGAGCTGACCTACAGCAACGAAACACTCCTGACTTTGTAGAGCGATGTTTACAAAAACTCCATGTTTCATTTTATAAAACCTGAAAGAATGAAAGCATCTCTTCTCCTCCTGAGTTTAGGCTTAAAAATTCATAAAACATATAGGTCCTAAATACAGCACTGTGCAAAAGTCAGAGACCCTTCATTTATTCATTTCCAGTAAAAACACCCATTAAGCACGTTATTTTTTTCAGAAGCTGTTTCCATGGAGATTAGAGATCAAATAATCCACTTGAATAAAATCTAAGACAAATAAGCATAAAAACCAGGAGTTTCCAAAATCGACTAAAAACTACAGAGAAAACGAGGCTCCTAACAACCACCTGAAGAGCTGGTCGTCCCCAAAACTGCCCCCATCAGATAAACAGCACTTAAAGCTTTCATCTCTGAGAGAGAGGAGAAAATCAAGCTGATCAGATCTGAAAACATCCACAGGTGTTTCTGTCCATCCTTCCACTGTGAGAAGACGACTCAGCGCTGTGGGTCTGAAAGGATGTGTAGCTGATCAAGAAGAACCTCACTGAGAAAAGGAGACGGACACATCAAACAAAGAAGCTGAACGATGGACTGACCACCCCAGAGTCCAGACCTCAACACCACTGAATGTGTTTGATCACTTCAAAAACTTGAAAGTGAGTCTCCTGAACAGAATGGAAGCTGGAATAAAGGGAAAGAGTGACTCACTAGAGCTACATATAGCTACCATACACACACACACACAATATATATATATATATATATATATATATATATATATATATAGAGAGAGAGAGAGAGAGAGAGAGAGAATCACAATACAATATGCTTTTCTGAACATATTGTGTATTTCAACAGTACTTGTAGAAACTGACCAACTGCTGTTTTCATTCTATTCATTATAAAGAGCAAAATTAGTCCCTTTTAACTGGATTTAATTCCAAATATAGAATAAAATCACTGTGTTCAGTTTTTGACAGTAGCGGTTTGTAACGTAGCTCTGCTGGCTCTTATTTTCTCAGTTCCAGCTGACCAGATGTCTGAACAAATGAATATCGTGACATATCATGTATCATAAAAATTTCTTTAAGTATTGCCATATTATATTTTTTAAGTATCGCCCACCCCTATAAGAGACATTTATCATGTATGAACCACACCCTTTTTTCCTTTTCCTGTTTTTATTTCTTTTCTTGTTCAAAAACAAACAACTGTGTCTCTCCACATAAAACACCACAACAACATAACAAAACAACTTTGCATTTATTCAAAATTATTTCAGTGTTTATTCACGTGATGTATAAAAATACATTCCACTCAGTTCACATTATATATAAACTGTATTTGTCCATTAAATCACACACCGCTCGTTAACAGTTCGGGACACCTGGCTTTAGATCGTAATTAAATTCAGCAGTAAACACAGCTGTGAATGCGCTAATGCACACTGACTGTTCTCGCACATGCTGAAACTCTCCTGGTCCAAAGGTGCTTTAAACACCTGAGAGGTTTGAGTGCTGACATCACAAGGGGGTGAAATGGGCGTGGCCTATATGCAGTCGTATGGAAATGTTTTGGCACCCCTGGACAAATTAAATTTTATTGTTGATTTTCTAATAAGTCTAATAATAAACAAGTTATCATATCATCTACAAAGAACAGATTTTGCAAATTTTAGATTCTGCAAATTTTAGTACACAAGTTGTACTTATATTTTTGAGAGTTTTGAGAGACATCTTATAAGGAAAATATTAAAATATATATATAAAAAAATGAAAACAAAATATAAAATGTGCACAGGCCACTAAGTTTTATATGTTTTCTAATAAACTATTTTTTTACAGTAACAGGGCACCCACACTTCTGCATATGGCTGTGTATATATGTATTTATTTATTTGCCTGTTTGTTTGTGTGTGCGTAATTATACGGAGGGTTTCATTCCAAAATGCATCAAATACCACTTTCTAAAATGTTCTTTTTCCATAATATGTGTTGGTGGGAGTTCTGCCTTTACAAACACAGCACATATAAATGCTCTGTAATGATTAATACTACATAAGCATATATATCCAAACTTGTCACAAATGGTTTATATATATTTATATATTCTTTGGGTCAAATTGACAGAGGAAACCGAAAATTTGAATTAGAAACGTTCTAAAAAGCCGAGTGTCCCCAAACCGTTGATGAGCAGTGCAGATCTAAATTGGCTACAATCTACATTTATAATCTCACCTCACATTTCAGAAGGGAAACACAATGACAGTCTGTATGTGTATGGAGGTAAATGTTCTCTCTGATGGAGGTTTTGCATTTCTGTGTGTACACGCTTCTGCATTAGCCACACACACACACACACACACACACACACACACACACACACACACAGAGAAGAGCCTCTTCGCAATCAGTCGCGCTGCGCTGCGTTCACATTCTCACGCTAATAAAAGGCACAGATCAGCGCTCGGCTGCACGGCAGGCTGAATGCCTCACACGCTAAACAGCACAAACAGAGCACGGAAACCAGGATCACCACACCTGAGCTAAACACACCTCTCACAGCATCCACTCTGCACTGCCCACTGCAGATCGCTTACAGACGCTTTACTAATCATTCAACATTCAACTACAAACTTATCACCTATTTTTGAACATTTCCATATAATTACATGGGTAATACGTAATCAGAGTGGTTCAGTGTGGTTTGGGGTGAAACGCTTCGTTCTAGATAAACTTACCGAGTCAGAATTGTTCACAGTGGTGGTGATAGGAACCAGACGTCCACCTCTAAAAGCTCCCTCACAAAAAGTTCCTACATGAAATGGTTATGAATTCACTGCCTGATGACTGAGACACTGTTTTATGATAGTTTAGAGAACTTAAACTCATTCATGGTGGAGGGATACATGCAGGGCGCTGTGAGGCAAAATAGTCCCCAAAGAAAACTGATTATTTCAGATGTTCCACTATTTTCCATCATCAACATTCCATATAGACTCAGAAGACTCGTGTAGGTTCACTGGTGGTTCTGGATAGTAAATAAAATGTCTATATTTGTGTTGTAGTCATGGCGACCCCTGGTTCCTATCACCACCACTGTAAAGACATCTGAACCACTTCATACCAAACCACTCTGAACCTCTCTGTTTTAACACTCAATTACAGAGGATTTCTTTTTTTTAAACAGTGGAACTCCCCTTTAAACTTTCCCTAACCCTGAAGTTCCTGTAGAGCCAAGAACAGAATTAGAATTAGGCTTTTGAGGTTTAAAAAAATAACATTTACACAATTTTCACTATTTTCCAATGAATTACTGCTTTAATACTCACTCAAAGAATTTCTAATTGTATTATTGGTGAAACCAAACTGTGAACTGATGACTGTTTGAGCGTCTATAGACCATCCACAGCTACAAATAAGGTTAGAATGAAACAAAACACAGGCACGTTACATTTCAATGATGCATAGCAGTAGCAAAACAATATTTACGTATATACCACATCTATGTTTTGCTTTTTAACTAATATTTCACTCGCAAAGTTAGCCTGAATTTGGGATAAATATTAAGCTTATAATATTGGCATGTAGTTTGAATACCTGGACATACAGTGTTACTGACATATGAGAGTTTTTAAAGGAATACTTCAGCTTTTTTAACCTAATCTCGGTTTTCTGTGTCTGAAAAATGTCAGTATAATTCAGATTACTGACAGTTTCAGTATATATCTCAGTAGTGTGTGTGTCTGTGTGTACATATATATACACATACACTGCTGTCGGAACAAAAAAGAAGGAAAAAACCAACTTTACTTTTAATGTAAGTCAATGGAACCAGACATTTTTCCAAGTAATTTTGGGTGATGTCTGTTGGTCCAAACATCATGAAATTGACAAACAATGTAAAGGACAAAAGTTACTTTCAAATCATGTCAAAAACTGAAAAAACGAAAATGGAGATACAAGGTTTTGTGTGTGTGTGTGTGTCTGTGTGTGTCATAGTTTATGATCCTATATATCTTAGGTATAATTATCATAGTAAATGTATGTATATTTTTTTAAATTTAAACCTTTTTAGATGCTTAAGTAAACCTTTTCTGTAGATTAACAATGACGGTTTATGCTGCGTTTGAGTGTCAGAAACATTTCCAACTTGTAAATTTTCGCTGGATCGGTCGACAAAGTAGTATTTAAACTGGTCAACTCAGGATTCTAGATTATACACGATCTTACAGAATGGAACCTTTTGCATGAGTGAAAAACTTGCAGTGATTGTAAAAAAAAATACTAATAACTAATGTGCTTCTATTAGATCTGTGTGCTTTTCAGCACAGCTAACAAAAAGCAGGATATCCTCTGGACCGCCATGCTTTGTTCTGTATGGTGGGCGTATCTACGAACGAGCACCCAAAGTGCACCAAGAAGTCGTATTTACTAGTTTACAGTCGAACATATACAACCTTCTGATAAGCATTATTCTGGACGTCCCTAATGGGAACCACATTTCACAACTGAAGCAAATCTAAAATACCTCTATTGGCCGAAACAGTAATGATCAATGTATAAACAGACGTCAGTATGTTTGTCTAACCCTAATGAGATGAAGGCGAGTGTGTGTAAAGCCCACAGCGCCTCCTCTAAACGCTGCTGAATATTGTTTCACGTCTGAAAGTCGTTTGTCTCGTATGCTCATATTTGTCTTGAGCCTTAATCTCCGAGCGTCAGACGCTGCTGGAATTTAGTAAATATTACAGCCGTTCACTCCATCAGTTTTAGCTGAGGAGCTGCGGAGCCTCTCGGCTTGTAGGCAGAGACTGCGGCGTCGCCTGAAGCAGCCGGCCAAGCAGGGAGCGCCGTAGGCAGAGCTTACGGAGAGCCGGCTACTCTACGTGCTAGGCTAATGGCTAACGGCTAACCCTAAGAGACTGGCTTACATTCTGCTCTCTTTTCCCCGTTAACTCATTAACTCAGAGTCTGATGTCGCTCCTTTGACCATAAACTGGACTAACTGACCTCAGGCTGCAGCTCAGTACATGAAAGGTGAGGGACTCAGTGAGTTCTGACCTGTTTGTACGTCACGTTATCTGCATTTATATGCATACCGGTATAACATTAATGGCAAAACTACCACCTTTAAAAGAGTTTCAACTGGTATAAAGGATGAAATGATGTATCTCTCATTACTACTGTAGCGTATAGTTGATGAGGTTTCCTGAATTCAGTAAAGAACAGAAAACACACTGATCCACTTACAACAACATTTATAATAGAAGTCAATGGGCAGTCAATAGGCAGCTGCTTCAGCACCTGTTTAGAGTGTCTTCTGTTCTTTTCTATGTTCAGGTAAACGTGTTGAGATGACCGTCTGTGCTAATCGACCGTACAGCAGGCAGAGATTAGGTTAAATAAAGCTGAAGTTCCTTTAAACTCATTCATCTGCTGATCACAATATCACAATCACAGTCTAAGTAAAGTGAGCTCACTGCAGTTCCTCTAAAGCCACAGCTCAGACTTTCCCCACAAGCCTCTCTGCTGCCTCACGACCACTGGATATGACATCACTGACGGAGACGCCGTCGTAGGAAGCTCCAGTCAGAGTGAGCGGCAGGCCGGCGTCGCTGATGTACCGCCTCATCGTTTCTGAGAACGATCAAAACTGCATTACTGACCACGTAAGAGCTCGATTTCTATCCTAACAGCAGCTCAACGATAGCATACTGTAATAACCAAATTTATTAAATAGAATACAAAAGAGAAGACAGATAGAGAATAAACAACAGCAATAATAAAAACATGATTATTATTTTTAAAAAAATCACAATTTCAATATATACTTAACAATACATACAGAATATAGTACCTGCAGTGTATTAAAGGTGTCATTTAAACTGAACTGTGAGCGACAGGTGCCACTACGACTACCAGTAATAATAATAATGATAAAAATGATCATCATCATCACATTTAATGATGTTTAAGCTCTTTAAATATGTAAGCGTTAATACTGATACAGATCTGTGGGTGACGGGTGATTAATAAAAAAAAATAATAATAATATCAGCTAATAATGCGTTAGTATGTTCGCGTCAACATTACTAATAAATCTAACTGAGTAGCTGCAACAAAAATACTACTAATAATAAAATCCCAGCATCACCACATTTTATAATTTAATAAATTGTGTAATTATATATGCAATAATCATAATTATGTTGTGTAGATCTTTGACACAGCTGCATTAGTAGCAGTGTTAATGTGTTTAAGTAAGTGCTGACTAATATTGCTAATATCAGTTATTAATGCACAGTTTAGTTAAAGTTCAGCTTACCGAGTCGTTTCCAGTGTCCTAGATGATACTGTGGGATACAGTTCTAAAAAGATAAAAAACAAAAATGGGAGATGTGTGTGTTACAGGGTTGCTGCATACATTAAAAAATCTCATTTGAAAAATATAATTACACTGTCTCTGTTTCAGCACAGCCCTGACTCGGTTACTGCACAGCCCTGACTCGGTTACTGCACAGCTCTGTCACTGTTTCAGCACAGCTCTGACTCGGTTACTGCACAGCTCTGACTCGGTTACTGCACAGCTCTGTCTCTGTTTCAGCACAGCCCTGACTCGGTTACTGCACAGCCCTGACTCGGTTACTGCACAGCCCTGACTCGGTTACTGCACAGCTCCGTCTCTGTTTCAGCACAGCCCTGACTCGGTTACTGCACAGCCCTGACTCGGTTACTGTACAGCTCCGTCTCTGTTTCAGCACAGCCCTGACTCGGTTACTGCACAGCTCCGTCTCTGTTTCAGCACAGCCCTGACTCGGTTACTGCACAGCTCCGTCTCTGTTTCAGCACAGCCCTGACTCGGTTACTGCACAGCCCTGACTCGGTTACTGTACAGCTCCGTCTCTGTTTCAGCACAGCCCTGACTCGGTTACTGCACAGCTCCGTCTCTGTTTCAGCACAGCCCTGACTCGGTTACTGCACAGCTCCGTCTCTGTTTCAGCACAGCCCTGACTCGGTTACTGCACACCTCCGTCTCTGTTTCAGCACGGCTCCGTCTATGTTTCAGCACAGCTCTGTCTCTGTTTCAGCACAGCCCTGACTCGGTTACTGCACACCTCCGTCTCTGTTTCAGCACGGCTCCGTCTATGTTTCAGCACAGCTCTGTCTCTGTTTCAGCACAGCCCTGACTCGGTTACTGCACACCTCCGTCTCTGTTTCAGCACGGCTCCGTCTATGTTTCAGCACAGCCCTGACTCATTACAGCACAGCTCTGTTTTCATTTCAGCACAGCTCCGTCTCCGTTTCAGCACAGCTCCGTCTCCGTTTCAGCACAGCTCCGTCTCCGTCTCAGCACAGCTCCGTCTCCGTTCCAGCACAGCTCCGTCTCCGTTCCAGCACAGCTCCGTCTCCGTTCCAGCACAGCTACAGCACAGCTCCGACCAGGTTACAGCACAGCTCTGTCCCTGTTTCAGCTCAGCTCTTTATCTGAAACAGCACAGCTTTCTGAGCTTAAACAGCTTCTCTGAGATCACACTGGGACTGGAGTTACTCACACACAGCAGCATCTCCAAACCCACAGCACCCACACTGAATCATCCTGCAGGTAAAAACGTCCAGCGAGAGCAGCTTTCTGAGCATCACAACGAGTGGACGCACCGAGCTGTTTCTATCTCTGTATGTATACAACACAAACACCACACACACACACACACCACACACACACACACCACACACACACACACACACACACATACATACACACCACACACACACACACACACACCACACACACCACACGCACACACACACACCACACACACACACACACACACACACACACCACACACACACCACACGCACACACACACCACACACACACACACCACACACACCACACACACCCACACACCACACCACACACACACACCACACCACACACACACACACACACTGCATAGCAGACGTTTGAGGACAGCTAGCTTTTCAAACTCTTCTAAAAGGATCCATATTATGGAAAAATATTTTTTATGTAAGTTTAAATTTTTTAAATCTAAGTTATTTTTAAATCTAAGTTTAATGTAATGTGTAAATACCGTTCACTCCCCATACAATCCAAGCTGCAAAAACAGCCCATTTTAAACTCATTTTGTGATGTGACAAAAATACATGCATATATGTTGTCGGAACAAAACCTCCAAAATGGTAACTTTACAGGAGAAGGAAAAACTTACTTTACTTTTAATGTAAGTCAATGGAACCAGACTATTTTTCTAAGTAATTCTGAGCTGTTTCTTTTAGTCCATCATGAAATGTACACATAATGTAAAAGACAACAGGTTTTTTCAAACTGTGCCAAAAACTGAAAAACAACAAAAATGGAGACATGAGGTTTTGTCCCGACAGCAGCGACACACACACACACACATATGTATACACACACACACACACACACAGAAAAATATATATAAATATATATTCTAAAGTCTGGGGTGAGGTGTCCCTAAACTTTTGACTGAGCTCTGAACTTTTGAATGAACTCTGTTCTGATTGGCTGCACTGTATTGCACCTCATGCAAGAAGCGTTCTGGGCTGAAACACTCCTTATAACTTCAGCGTGAGTGGGCGGGGCTAAACTGCTGTGGGCTGAACAGGCAGACAGACAGACATCAATGCATTTGTGGTTGACACCACAAAAACAGCACATTAAAACAGGCTGATTTTGCAGTTTAGTGTCTATATGTGGACTGTATGGACTGGGTACACTGTGAAACTAACTGTGTTTAACAGGCGGCAAGGTGTCCCCAAACTTGTGACTGTGTAGGTTCAGGATCAGAGCAGAATGCTGAGTCAAAAATCGATGATCCAAACAGAAACGCATCGGTGTGTGTGGGTGTTTGTGTACTCCAAGTGAGAGTCAGCTGGAGTGTGAAAGATGAACAGCTTGTTTTCCTCCTCCTCGTCTCCAGCGGGACGACCCCACCGGCCTTTGCGGAGGTCACGTTTTTTTTTTTAGAGTCAGACGCCGCGGAGCGTCCGAGCGTCTGCCATTCTTCACCTCAAGGTGAGTGGAGTTCAAACTAGGCCAGACAGCAGGCTGCGTGTAGAAACTCTAGAAGAAGTCTTACAGCATTTACGCTTTAATCCTGCACGATCCATCGTATTTTTATTGTTATCGCAATATGAGTTTCCAGAATAAATACAACATTCAGGGCTGTGATGACAGAATGGATCAAACTTACCACAAACAACAAAAATGCTGACCACTGATGACCATTCTCACTCAGTTTTGTGTGTAAAATGTATAGACTGTACAAAGCAGTATTGCCTACTGCTACAACAAACGTGCATCACCATAAAGAGCTTTTTAAGGAATTAAATATAGATTTAGTCATTTTTGTAGGCCTATACCGAATATAACAAAACACATATTTGTTGATGTCTGTAACGCAAATAGAAAAAGCTGTTCAGGGAATCCTGACTCTTTAGACTGAAGCACCTCAAAGAACTCCATAAGGGGGCGCCATTAGCAGTCAAATAGCTATTAATGCCTCATTATTTTTTTTTCTCATATTCTGTGCGACTACAGCTTAAGACTGCTAGTGTTCTCCCGAGTGGTGCAACTGTCTATGTTTCTTCGGGAGACGTACGTTTGATTCCTGGTGATGCCACAGTGATGCCACAGCCATCCGTAACCAGGAGTACAGGTGAGTTAAACTGCGCTCTCTCTCTCTGGGTGGGTAGGATGGTCCTGCCTCTCCCCCCATCACCCATCACTCAGCGGGATGCATCATGTGTGACCTAACAGAATTAGCAGTTCTCCTGAGGTCTTCAAATCCAGACCTTGAATCCAGTTTTGAGTTGTTGTGAAAGTTATCAATAGTTAACGTTGATATAACTGATTGGTCACCAATGACTGCAGAACAACTGGAGACTGGATTCAGCATCTGGCTTTGGAAACCTCTGGTGTAAGTGTTGGCTTTATTATCAGGAAGTTGTTTGTTCCCCAGTGAGTGTGTTTACATGCAGTTAACAATCTGACAACTGCAGTAAATCAGATTTTGTCAGTAATCCGATTAGCGTGTTTAAATGCACTTCAGTAATCAGATAATGTGGAAACCCTGGGTCTACATGAGTCAGACAGTAATTAGATTTCTTTTGCAATCAGCCAATAAACTCACAGAAGAAGACGAGACAAACGTAACCCAAACTTCATGTTGCGGCTTTTTTAAAACCATCGCACCACTTTACCTGAAAATATGAACAAACATCATCTAGAAGATGAAGAATATTTAAATCCTTCATTTCATCAAGCAGGTAGTCGGTTTCAGCTCCAAAAGTGTTTTGCTGAGTCTCGCGGCGACGCTGCTCGCTTATTTACGGTACCGCCGTCTGTTTACACACAAGCACAGACTTTGAAATCCGAAAGAAATCAGAGTAAGAGTTTACATGCACTGAGAAATCTGATTCCTGAACTAAAATCCAGCCTCTTTATTTCTTAATCTTAATTCTTAATCATTTCTAGATCGGAGTATGGTCTTTACATGACGTTTAAATAATCAGATAACTGCAGAAATCCGATTATGATCAGATTATTAAGCGCATGTAAACTCACTCAGTGATGCCACAGCCATCCGTAACCAGGAGTCCAAGAGAGCGTAATTGTCCCCTCACTCTCGGGGTGGGTAAGGTGGTCCTGCCTCTTGCCCCATCACCCAACACTTAGAGTGATGCATCATGTCTGTTAGCTGATGTAACAGAATTAGCAGTTAGCATTCTTCTTCAAACGTGTTGCGTTGCGCTGTCTTCAAATCTGGACGTTAAATCCAGTTTCCAGTCCTGGGTTTTAGTGATAATTAACTGTACTATTAATGTAACTGACTGGTTGGCAGTGACTGCAAAATCCAGGACTGGAAACTGGACTAAAGGTCCAGATTTGAAGACCTCTACAGTAAGCACTGGCTCTATCATTGGGAGGTTGCGAGTCTGATCCCCAGTGATGCCCCAGCCATCCGTAACCAAGAGTCCAAGACAGCATAACTGTCCTCTCTCACTTTGGTCACGTTAGCCAACATGAGTGACTCTTAGCTGGTTTAATTAAATTACCAGTTAGCTTCTTCTCTAAGCGTGATGAAGGTCAGCGCCTTAGTGGAAGTCGGAGGAAGCACACGCTAGCCGCCAGCCTCCCAGCTTGGAAGTATCGTGTCATAGAGGAAGACCTAGTTAACGGGCTGCTAGGACTAAATGAGGAAGAAAAACCGAGGAACATCCGCCCCAAAAAGAGAGACTGCAAGTGTGAGATATGATGCAAACAGCATGGTTTGATTGTAATGGTCACTTAGCCTGATTCCTGAATAAACATGAGGTCCAGGCTGACGTTATCCAGGCTATTTACGATTGATGCAGCTGCTCCCGGAGCTCTCAGGCAGACACTTTGTGATATTTTACAGCACTTTCTGCACAAAATAAAATGCCTATATTTGTGTTGTAGTCATGGCGACCCCTGGTTCCTATCACCACCACTCTACAATCAACCTTTTCACACCAAACTCTGAATCAGTCTCTGTTTACATCTCAAACGCTGAATTATGCAGTACATTTGAATAATCGCAGTTGGAACACACCTTAAACACCTTCTAGAAGACTGAGCCTATCACCCCCGCCGGGTCGTACACATTACTCAGCTTATATATCAACGTGGTATTTTATTTCCCTTTGTCCTTCACGTCGTTCAGCAATGACTGCCCACTCCAGAGAGTCGTCCCCGTCTCTGATGGAGAGGATGAATGTGCACTGACCCCTGGAGCTCTGATATGGGCTGAGGAGAGGACGGCACATGGGCAGACCGAGCGGGTCTCCAGCCATCTGCTCAGGTTCATATGAGCAGATCAGGGGTTTCTGGCTCAGGCTGCTTCCAGAGGGAGAGGGGTGAATGCTGAGCAGCAGGGCAGAGAAGGACAGCAGAAGAGGAACAGTAGTACCTCAGTGAGATGTGGCTGAGGGCACCAGGTGGCCAACAGAGGAACTACGACTTCAGATGAAACGAATGGATGAAGCAAACAGCGACAAACTATCATGATCTTATTGCTACAGTAGAGACCATCGGCCGTTAGCTTTAAATGGCTAGATTTGTGTTTATAGAGGAAGCATTGGGCTGTGGAGCAGTGGAACTGTGTTCTCTGAGTGATGGAGCTCCATCCAATACCTTTGGGATGAGTTGGAGTGAACCAGAACTGACCATCCAACATCAGTACCTGACCTCACCAATGTTTAATCAAATAGCCTTTCCAGAAGAGTAGAGGCTGTTACTGCAGCACAAACTCACCATTAACTCCTCCATTTCAGAAGAAACTCTGGAGTCTAGAAACATATTCATCTATTTATAACCTTTAAACATGTAAAAGGCTTTTAAAAAGTGAGAAGCACTGGAAAAAATCTAAAACAATGAGTGTGTTTACATGCACTCAATCTGATTATAATCGGATTTCTGCAGGTATCTGATTATTCAAATGGTTGTGTAAACAGTACACTGATTTCTTAGATCGGAGAAATCTGATAAAGAGGCTGGATTTTAGCTCAGTAATCAGATTTCTCAGTGCATGTAAACTCTTACTCTGATTTCTTTCGGGTTTATCGGTCTGAGCATGTGCAAAAATCAGAAAATAAAATAAGTAAATAAGCGAGCAGCGTCACCACGAGACGCAGCAACACACTTTTGGAGCGATGCTGAAACCAAACACATGCGACATATCGCATGTATCGCATGCATCGACACATCGACGAAATGAAGGATTTACATATTCTTTATCATTTAGATGACGTCTGTTCATATTCTCAGGTAAAGCGGTGCTATTTATTATTTTTTTTAAAGCCGCAGCATGAAGTTTAAGTTTTGCGTTACGCTTACATCACATCTTCTTCTGTGAGTTTATTGGCTGATTGCAAAGCAGAAATCTGATTACTGTCTGACTCATGTAGACCCAGTTTCCCCATTATCTGATTATCTGATCAAATGCTTGTAAACACGTTGATTGGATTACTGACAAAATGTTCAGATTTTCTGCAGTTATCGGATTATTAAGTGCATATAAACGCACTCAATGATTGTATGATTTATGATCTATTATTGTAAACTTTGCTATATGTTTATGGCAGTTTATCAGATTATAATTCATAGTGTCACTGTCAAAAAACCCTTGTATTTCTATTTTTTGTCTATTTTTCATTTTTGCCCGGTCAGCCTTGCTGAGTCACTGACTGACTGACTGAAACTGCTGGTCAGAACAATTAGAATTATTAGAATAAAACCTTCTTACATTAACTTACACTGAAAGTTGAGACTGTTTTTACCGTCTACTGTGAACTTACTTTTTTAAATATATGTCGTTTCGTTCCGACAGCAACGATATGCATGTTTGCACCTCCGAGTGGAGATCCACAGAGCAGGTTTTCTCAGTTAGCTGGATAATGTAAGGTCAAAGTGAGGATCGTCCAATAGGAACGTTCCCTACCTCCTCTCCTACTGGACAGGTCTGAGTTTGGGCTTATGCTGTCTGGTTAACCGAGGAATCCTGCTTTGGTTTTCAGCAGGTAAAAGACAGACTGACCTTCAACACAGCTGCTTTACTCCATGCAGGTGCGTCTGTGATGCCCAGGTGTGTCCTCAGCGCCTCAGCGCTCCGATCCAGCAGCTCCTGCTCCGTCACGCGGTCCGGCTGGCCGAAAACCTCCTCAAACCAAGAGCCTCCCATCATTATCTCAAAACAAACAAACACAGAGTTTATTAAAATGATTTTCTTAGATAACGGGGTGGAGATAATTAGCAGACTGCATATGCAAATAAGAAAATATGCTGATATAATTTTGCTGGTGGGATTATTAAAGGAGCCACGATTTTCTTGTATTTTATGTTTTCCCCACTTGTGACACTTCTGTGTGGTTTTATGTACATAATTAATTTGTACACCTTCATTTTCCAGCCCCTCTTTATCTCTTAGAATTGAACAGGCTTTTTTTTGGCTGCCCTACTTCAAAAAGCAGTCCTGGCTAAAACACTCTTTATAACTTCAGCTTGAGTGGGCGGGGCCAAAGTGCTGTAGACTGAATAGGTGGTTATATAGCTACAACGTTATTGTCAGTGCACACCATAGTGCAAAATTACAGCATATAGATATATAGATATAGAGCTGAACGACTTAGGGATCATATCTCATTGCAATTTTCCTTACAAATATTGTAATTTTGATTTAAATTGCGATTATTTTCTATGTAATAAGTTGTTGATAATATAAGCATCTCATAAAAACTACAGCTCTTACGATTTAAAAACTGCAATCCTACACATTATGATTTCAGTATAAAAATGATCTTTCAGCCCTAATATACAAATTCAGTTCCAAGATATGATTTATACTTTTACTTTGACCTGTATTTAAATGAAAAACAGTACAAAGACAAGATATATAATCTTTTACCGTATTGACCTCATTGTTGTTTTTTTTTAAATATATGTATTTTTCTGAAACTGATGCCGCTACATGTTCCAAAAAAGTTTGGACGGCGCAATTTAAGACTGTGAACTGTGTGAAATGTTCATAAAACATCTTACACAAATGAGGCAATTATGCTCGGTTGTGTCAGATCTTTCTTACCCACTGATTTACGGCTCTACAGCGAGTCTCCTTACCGCAGAGACGGTACTGATCTCCTGCTGTCTGAACTGAGCTGAACCTCATCACTGTATCTCCTCTCCTGTTAGTTTACCTCATACCACTCAGTGTCTGCTCTCATGTAAATACAACAAATCTGTCTCATACGCCATGCAAATATGCAAATAGATATACTTTATATACATTTTATTACTCATACTTTAACTTATGTGTGGGTTTATTTCTATGTTTTATTGTGTGTATAATATATGTAAGTTTATGTGCAATTATAGGTCTTGCTATTGAAACACTAATTTCCCTTCGGGATCAATAAAGTTCGTTCGTTCGTTCGTTCGTTCTTTCTTTCTTTCTTTCTATCTATCTATCTATGATAAGGTGATGTGTATTTGCTAGTGTTTAAGCAAATTCAATGCACTCAGTCACTGCATCTGGAGTGTGGCACCATCTGCTGTATAAACACAGGTGTAGTGAATCTGAAGGTGAGGACGCTGTGGGAGCTGAGATGTTCAGCGCTTTTTCAATTCCTGACCTGCATGAATTAAAAGAATCAAAGAAAGATAAAAGGATTCTGAAAAGCATCATCCATTTTCACATGATTTATAATTCCAATAACTAATAAGCGCTTGATAATGTCTGACGGGTTAGCGGTGTAGAGTCTCTGAGTGGCTGCGCTGCCCCTCCGGTCTGACTCCCATGTTCTGCAGGAGGAAAAAGGCCGTTCTCAGCGTTTTCCTCCTCCATTAATCATGATTTAAGTGGAGCAGGAGTGAATTATTCAGGGTTTTGTGTGGTTGTGGTGGCGCTGCAGGCTATTTCTGCTCTGTTCGTGTTTTTCCTAATGGCCAGAGGAGAGCAGAACATTTGTTTAAGGCATTTCCTTCTGTTAACAAACGGACCGGGACAGAGGTAGAGAGGCTGAGTCTGAGCGTTTGTGACAGCGCGGGTGAAGATTTACAACAATAACACGTATTATTTCTCACAACACCTGCCGTAATGTGAGCTACTGCCAAGACAAAGTCTTTGCAGCCAGAGGAGGAAAAATACAACATCAAGACACTTCAAGAATCTTTTATGATATACGACCTGCGTGTCAAACACAAGGCCCGCGGGTCAAGTCAGGCCTGTGGCACAGTCCTATTCGGCCCGTGAAATTACATTCATTTTCTATTAACATTAGCCCATTTCACCATGAGCTGCACTACAGTTCCCAGCATGCACTGCAACGCAATGTGTGCTCCCACACCCCCTTGCTCCCCAAACAATGATCTATGGGACAGCACCACAAAAAAAAATAAAATAAAAAAAATAAACAAAATAAAAGATGCCAGGTGTCCAGTTCAAGTGAATGGGCAGTGAACACTACTGTACCCCGGGGACTTTTAAAGAGGTTTAACAGTCATGTGTAGCTAATGTAGCCTATTATTTTACATAAAACTATTTCTTTAACTTATTTATTTTTTAATCTTCAAGTATTCAGTGCCTGTTTTTAGGTTTAGTAGCTTTGGCATATTTTGAACAAACAATGGCCAGTTGGGGTCATGACAAAATGTCACAGCTGGACCACAGATTTGTTGAGATTTTTTTTAAAACAGCCCTTTTAGCACGACACCTGATATACGATATGTCATGACAGCAGCGCCACATTTAAAACAATACTATCTAAACTATGAGTATAATGTATTCAGCAACTAACCAGGCCTAATTATGTCACCGTCACGCAAAAACCTTGTATCTCCATTTTTGACGATTTGTTTTTTTTACACATTTTGAAAACTCAGTTACAGAAATGCTCCAAAAATATGTGGAGAAAAATCTGGTTCCATTCAAAGTTAAGAATGTTTTTCTTTCTCCTGTAAAGTTACCATTTTGGAGTTACATGTACTTAATAATCCGATAACTGCAGAAAATCAGATAGTGTCAGTGATCCAATCAACACGTTTACATGCTCTTCAGTAATCAGAGATCATCTGTTCTCTACACTCTCAAAAAGATGGTTCTTCAAGGGTTCTTTAGTAAAGGAAGGTTCTATATAGACCCTACGAAATCTATCATCATGAAATGGTTCTTCAGACTGATGAACAATGTGTTGTAGGTGGTTCTATACAGCACCAAAATGGTGACTCTATTGCAACGATGTCAAGCTTGTAGCAACAGAGGAACCCTTTTTTAGTGCTATATAGAACTCCTTCCAAAAACGTTCTATGCAGAACCATCTACAATGCATTCTCCATCAATCTGAAGAACAATTTCATGATGCAAAGAACTCTTTAGTCATGCAAAGGGTTCTTTGAGTGTTTTTCTCTACTAAAGAACCCTTAAGAGTGTAGTCCAGAGGTCTTCAAACTCAGTCGGCGAATCCAGCGTCTGTTCCTGGATTTTGTAAACACTGTGCAGTAATGAGGAGATACAGTCTGTAAACCTGTACGGAAGGTGTTTCTGATAAAGTGGCCAGTGACTGTCTGTGTAATGTTTATTGTCTCACTGTCAGTCTGGTTGTGGGTTCTCCAGCACGGTTGTGCTGTGGAAACGGGACGGAGTCGTAGACCACCCCCAACAGCCCCCGATCCTCAGAGGAGGGGACCAAGTGACCAAAACCCTGAAAACACAAAGAACACAGACATTTTCATCATTTTCATTCAGAGTTTTACAGAAAGAGAAAATTTATATGTATTTACACATACAAACAATATATATATATATATATATATATATATATATATATATATATATATATACACATACATACATACATACACACACACACACACACACCCATCAGGCATAACATTGTGACCACCTCCTTGTTTCTACACTCGTTGTCCATTTTATCAGCTCCACTTACTATATAGTCTCACTTTGTAGTTCTACAGTTACAGACTGTAGTCCATCTGTTTCTCTGATACTTTGTTAGCCCCCTTTTACCCTGTTCTTCAGTGGTCAGGACCCCCATGGACCCTCACAGAGCAGGTACTATTTGGGTGGTGGGTCATTCTCAGCACTGCAGTAACACTGATGTGGTGGTGGTGTGTTAGTGTGTGTTGTGCTGGTGCGAGTGGATCAGACACAGCAGTGCTGCTGGAGTTTTTAAACACTGTGTCCACTCACTGTCCACTCTATTAGACACTCCTACCTTGTCAGTCCACCTTGTAGATGTAAAGTCAGAGACGATAGCTCATCTGCTGCTGCACAGTTTGTGTTGGTCATCCTCTAGTCCTTCATCAGTGGTCACAGGACGCTGCCCACAGGACGCTGTTGGCTGGATATTTTTGGTTGGTGGACTATTCTCAGTCCAGCAGTGACACTGAGGTGTTTAAAAACTCCAGCAGCACTGCTGTGTCTGATCCACTCAGACCAGTGCAACACACACTAACACACCACCACCACGTCAGTGTTGCTGCAGTGCTGAGTTGTCGTGGTTGTTTATTTCTGTACAGTACCATATCACACATAAAAGCGCTCTACTGCTTTACTACAACACTTTCACAGAGCAAAGAAAAGATGTGGGAACACTGTTTCAAATGTGTGCTTCTAATATCAGCAGCTTAAGACTGACGCACACCAGACGTGCCATGCTGTGCAGCGAAGTGCTGTATAGCGCCACCTAGCAGACTCTTGCTATAGAATTCTGGCAGGGAGAGCGCCATGAACGCCAGGTTCATGACTTACTCGTATAAACCGAATAAAATGAAACATAATTTGCTATGTTTGGTATCAGTTTACTGCCTCTTCACACACTGGCTGTTTTTGAGCTGAAAAATGCTGGGCTAGTAACGTTAGCTGAGGTAACTTATCTTTAGCAGCTGTTTATATAAGGCTTTGTTCACACAGCAGGTAAAAGTGGCCCAAATCTGATCTTTTGCTTCATGTGTGAGTCAGATGTGTGTCAGTGTGAACAGATAAACACACTGAATCTGGCATTTTCAGTTCCGATTTGAGACGCTGTCATATGTGATACTGAAATCTGTTACGTATCCGATCTGTGGCAGTGCGACTCAGTCTGAACAGCCAGATCAGAATTCATGTGACTTTTACGTCAATCCAACTCGACATTTGTCGTGATTTCGTGCTGCTGAGACTCAAAAAACATTTAGGGCTGATGTTTCTGTACCAAATAATTATTAGAGACTGATCCAAACCCTCCGTGTTTGAAGAGATTTCTAAATAAATGTCCGAACGCGGCCGCAGGAGAACGAGGCTGCAGCGTCAAAGAACAGTTAAAAGTCTGAAAGCAGAGTTTAAAGAATCCGAGGACGCGAACCAAAGAAGTGACCGCGCCCTTTTAACGGCTCGAACGCATTCTGAGTGATGAGCCCAGCTGTCAGTCAGTGAAGCTTCATGATGGCTCCTGTGATGCTGGTGAAGATGAAGCTGGCGTTGGTTGGCGGTCGTGATTGTTTACCTCTGGATGAGCCGTGAAGCAGCGTGAGGCTCTGTTCTTTAGCGCATGTGGGTCAGTTTAGGAGCTGATCTGTTCAGACTGATGTCGCATACAGATCACATTTAAAAGATATTGTAAACAAAAACAAACCAAAAAATTAGATTTGGTGAGAAAATCAGATTTGGGCCACTTTTACTTGCTGGGTGAACGAAGTCATTAAAGACTGACTGCCTTCCTCTGTGTTTAAAGCCACACATGATCTACTGCAGCTTTCTGTGCTCCAAATATGGCTTTAATTTAATGTAGTAAAGGCAAAAAGCTGCATGCTGTGCTGAGTAACTGAAGTCAGTGAGTGTCTTCATAGTATCTTCATTAAAAACAATGCGAATTTTAGGCCCTGAGCATCGCGACACAGCCTTCAGAGTAAAGAGACAACTGTTGTTGCTTTGCAACCAATGGTCAGTGTAATGATACAGGTCAGGGGAAAAAAACACAATTATGTGACCCTTTTGGACCCTCCCCTTTCATTTTCAGACATTATGATGTATAGTGGTGATTCTACTGACCGTTACTGGCAGCACGGAGCCGCTGAACTCCAGGTTGACCATCCCTACAGTCGCTGTGGGAATCGCTCGCAGCTGTTCTGACAGAGGCTGGGCAGCAGGGGGCAGCACTGCGGCCAACGCTGCACACACAAAAAAAAAGAAAATAAAAAACGTGACCTATTTTCATTTTGTATACGGCTGAATGATCCTCAAAAGTACAATATTACAATTTTACTGCTATATATTGCGATTGCAATATTCTTTATGATACATTGAAAACACTTTGATGAGGGCAGGTACAGTTTTGACCAAAAATGGTAAAAATTGTACCTTTATTTTTCCAAACTAGGGCCCAACCAATACGAAACATTTGTGGTTGATACCAATATCAATTTCAGGCATAACATTCTGACCACCTCCTTGTTTCTATGCTCATTGTCCATTTTATCAGCTCCACTTACTATATAGGTGCACTTTGTAGTTCTACAGTTACAGACTGTAGTCCATCTGTTTCTCTGCATACTTTGTTAGCCCCCTTTTACCCTGTTCTTCAGTGGTCAGGACCCCCATGGACCCTCACAGAGCAGGTACTGTTGGTGATGTGTTAGTGTGTGTTGCGCTGGTATGAGTGGATCAGACACAGCAGTCCTGCTGGAGTTTTTAAACTCCTCAGTGTCACTGCTGGACTGAGGATAGTCCACCAACCAAAAATATCCAGCCAACAGCGTCCTGTGGGCAGCGTCCTGTGACCACTGATGAAGGACTAGAGGATGACCACCACAAACTGTGCAGCAGCAGATGAGCTATCGTCTCTGACTTTACATCTTCAAGGTGGACTGACAAGGTAGGAGTGTCTAATAGAGTGGACAGTGAATGGACACAGTGTTTAAAAACTCCAGCAGTACTGCTGTGTCTGATCCACTCGTACCAGCACAGCACACACTAACACATCAACACCATGTCAGTGTTACTGCAGTGCTGAGAATGATCCACCACCCAAATAGTACCTGCTCTGTGAGGGTCCATGGGGGTCCTGACCACTGAAGAACAGGGTAAAAGAGGGGCTAACAAAGTATCAGAGAAACAGATGGACTACAGTCTGTAACTGTAGAACTACAAAGTGAGACTATATGGTCAGTAGAGCTGATAAAATGGACAATGAGCGTAGAAACAAGGAGGTGGTCAGAATGTTATGCCTGATCGGTGTATTATTATTATGCAGCCCCAACACTGCAAACATCACAGCAGTGCTATCTGAGCATTTACCTGCTGCAGGTATAGCAGAAATCACATGATCAGCTTTCAACGTGTTTCCGTCCTCCAGTTTGATCTGTTTGAGAAATCAACAAGAAAAATTCACACAATACTGTTTTATTTCCCCTCTTACCCTGAATGTAGCACCAGCCAAGACATGCTTGGTGTCTGTACTTTGATTCTTTAGTTCGAAGCATGCTAAGCTAAAACCCCACCAATTAGCCTGGTGATAACTGTTTACCTCAAACCGACATACACTAGTTCATGATTATAGATAAGTGAGTCATCCAGTGCCTGAAACCACATAACCAAGTCTATTAGAGATCACGCACTGCAGTTAGCACCATGCTAATCAGTGTACATAAGCTTCTATTACTTGTTAGCTACATCAGCCTCATAACTTCAGTGTAAAATTAAAGAAGCAAACTTGTCCTGGCTGACTGACTGTATTTACAGTGAGGTGAAATGTGTAAATATGATTTTTGGCCAAACTATCGCTTTAATGTGTGTCTCACCTCCCAGCCGGCCGCCGTGTTGTCCAGCCTCATGACGGGGGCGTTGTGATGCACCTCTACCCTCTCACGCCCCCTCAGTGCCTCCTCCATAGCCTCGGGAAGTGCCTGCATGCCCCGTCTCAGACTCCATTGAGCCCACCGCTCCTTCTGAGCCCGTCGCAACAGCGCTGAGCGGACCACCGGGGGGCGCTTTTCTGCAACATGAGACATTTTACAGAGAAATAAACAGGCTTTTCGAGTTCGCTGTGTAGATTGTGTTGTTCATTTGCTCACATACTCGTCTGAGCAGCTTGTTAGGTGAGCTTTATGGTCGTCCATCCTGCTGACTGTTTTTAAATTTTTAAAGTTTGAAGCATAAACTTCGTCTCTCTGCAGAATGGGTGGAAAAATTAATCCTCTCTATATCGAAATCACAATTTGCTACAATTTTTATTACAGTCTTAAAGTCTATTATCAACACATCTATCATCTTCAAGGGTTCTTTAGTAAAGAAAGTCGTTCTATAAAGAACCATGAACACTTAAAGAACCCTTGCATGGTGAAAAAGTTCCTCAGACTGATGTAGAATGTGCTGTGTATGGTTTTATAAAGAAGCTTTTTGATAATGGTTCTATGCAGCACCAGACAGGTTCGTCTATTATGATGTCAAGCTTGTAACAATAGCAGAACCTTTTTTGTTGCTATATAGAACCGTTTACAACACATTCTCCATCAATCTGGAGAACCATTTCACCATATATGGTGCACCTGAATTTCACTGTAGGTAAACGTGCAATGACAAAAGTAATCTAATCCAATCTAATCTTCCCCCACAGTCCACTTATGAAGTCTGTGTGGTTCTATGTATCAAAAATAGTCATAATTCATCTCTACATGACTATTTTCTTGTTTTTGTTTCTGTGCCTTTAAGACAGATACAGATGTCTGCAAAGGTTTTAGCACCCCTTGATTAAATGACATGTTCTGTGATTTGCTACGTGAAAATAATTTAACACATCTTCTACAGGCAACACAATGAAATATGACATTGTAACATATTGCGGACAAAAAAAACCCAAAAAAACAAAATATTAAATGCGCTGTACTTTTTGCACAGGCCTCCATTTATGCTTTATTTTTTCCCTCAATATGTAAAATTCAGTACATAAACAGTAAATGGATATTAAAATGTGCAGAAGTGGGTCTCTGTAGAAGACGTGTAACTTATTTTCACTTAGAAAATCAACTACATGTAATCTGACCAGTGGTGCCAAAACTTTTGCAAACAACAATAGATGTAAATGAGCTCTGTAGTGATTGGCTGCTCTGTATTGTGCCTCAGTCAAAAAAACAGCCCTGGCTCTCCTTATATGTTCAGCGTGAATGGGTGGGGCCAAACTGCTGTAAGCTGAATGGGGGTTGTATGTAAATGCGCTGATTTTTATGACATCACAAAAACAATGAACTAAAAATGGGCTGTTTTAGAAGCTAAGATGCCATATATGGAACGTATGGGCTGAGTGAATGGTACACTTTGGAACGGTGCTTCTGTGTTACATCAAACTCTTTATTTTTATTCTCCACTTCTCCATTTATCTTTATTTTCCTTATGGGCCCCATAACAAACACTGTTCACGTCAGCTCCACAGTACTGGACAGTTGTGTCTGTTTCATGTAATATAATGGTAGATTTTTCATGCTCATTCATAGTTTAACACTAGCACAGTTTATCAACTCTTCTGAGAAAGGTCCACTCACCGTAGCCCATCAGCATGCCCAGCAGGACAGACCCCCGGGCCTGTTCTGCGTTGTAGAGCGGTGGGAAACACGAGCGAACACTAAGCTTCCTGGAGTCCCCCGCGAACACACCACGGCACAGAGCATCGATCGCTATATCTGCTAGCTGAACACACAAAACATACACCACAAATAATCTCTCAAAGGGAAACTCCACCCAAAATGTCTGCATAATTAAACGGTTAACATATAAACAGAGTCATTCAGAGTGGTTTGGTGTGAAATGCTCTGATACCGAGTCAGAACTGTTCACAGTGGTGGTGATAGGAACCAGACGTCCACCTCTAAAAGCTCCCTCACAGAAAGTTCCTACATGAAATGGTTATGAATTCACTGCCTGATGACTGAGACACTGTTTTATGATAGTTTTGAGAAGATTTTGTATTATGTATCCCACCACCATGAATATACCTGGTGGTTCTGGATAGTAAATAAAATGTCTATATCTGTGTTGTAGTCATGGCGACCCCTGGTTCCTATCACCACCACTGTAAAGACATCTGAACCATTTCACACCAAACCACTCTGAATCTCTTTGTTTACACCTCACACACTGAACTATGCAGAAAGTTTGAATTATTGATGTAAAATGTTTCCCCTCTTCACCCAATATGTATATGTATATGTAACATACTGTGTAGATCACAAACAGTTATTCTTAAAGCCTAAATTGCGTTTGTACTTTAATCCATGTTTATAGATAAGAGTGAGCCACAAGCTGTGTCCCAATTCGGGGTCTGCGTCCTTCGGAGGCTGCATCTGAAGGCCGACTGCATCACAGCGCGACTTGAAGCCTCCTTCATATAGTCGAATTGCGAACGATAGAAATGTTACAAAAGCCAATGTGGTCTGAAGCTAAACTTACACTAACGTGCGGACGCCAACAGTGAAGCGTCTCCAGCTCTAATAAATGAAAAAAAAACTAAGATCAAAGTTTCTGGCTCCGCCTTTAAAGAACTAACTAAAAGAACTTGACAGGAGCAGCGTTTCGTGACGCAGCAGTGAGGGCAGGAACAGCGGTGGTCTGACGCAAACAGGAAATCCGCCGTAGATCAGACCGCATTTCGGTTCAGCCTTTGCAGGTCTACGCAGCCTTCAAAGGACACGCCTTCATAGACTGCGTCCTTCGAAGGATGCAGCCCCTGAATTGGGACACAGCTACAGCGTCAGAAACCGCATAATCAAGTCTGTTGGAGATACTCAACAATTCTACATGCTTTGACGTGTGTGAGGATTTAGTCACGCAGTTAGCACCATGCTAACTGGTGGGGTATGAGCCTCCATTACATGTTGGCTACATAAGCTTCAGTGCTAAAACTAAAGAAGCAATCATCAGACACCAAACGGGTCACGGCTGATCGACTCGATTTGTGGAAAGAGGGTTTTTTTTTACTGAACTATCGCTTTAATGACCCTCACTCACCTCGGAGCCCAGTCTTCTGGACACAAACGCGTGCACGGACTCGTCCTCCTGCGTCCCCTTGCTGACCAAAACTTCCTTCAGCACGCTGAGCATTATGGGACGGGAGAAGGGAGGGATGGTGCGCACGAGCCCACTGGAACACATTCAGGAGGTAAAATTAAAGGGCGTATACCATGAAAAACTGGTCTGATGTAGTTTGTAAACAATGCTAAAGTTTCATAACATTCACTGCTGAGTCCAACATGTTTCCATATCAGCCTATTCAGCCTACAGCCATTTAGCTCCGCCCACTCACGCTGACATTATAAGGAGTGTTTCAGCCCGGACTGCTTTCTGTTCGTGGAACAATACAGGGCAGCCAATCAGAACACAGCTCATTTACATCTATCTGTCTTAAAAGGCACAGTAAAAATGAAGGGTATTAATAGTGAGTCTGTGCTGCAGTAACAGCCTCTACCCTTCTGGGAAGGGTTCTAGATGTTGGAACATTGCTGTGAGGATTTGACTGAGCATTAGTGAGGTCAGGTACTGATGTTGGATGGTCAGTTCTGGACACTCCAACTCATCCCAAAGGTACTAAATGGAGCTCCATCACTCAAAGAACACAGCTCCACTGCTCCACAGCCCAATCCTGGGAAGCAAATAAACCTTGAAGGCCTAGGCCTGAGAGCAGCCTGGGCCTGCAGCAATTTAAAATATATATTACCACTTAGTTTGGAAATAAGGGTGGTAAAAATATCAGTGACTTTGGAGATAAGGGTAAATCAGAAAGTTAGAAATATTTGGGAAGGGCATGGAGGAGCCGGTGTTGACCCCTCTCTGCCCAAAAGGAGTATAAATAGCATGGATTTGGGTGGGTTTGTCCGTTGATTCCTGGGCCAACTCAAGATTAACGCTTGATGCTGGAAAGACTTAATCTTCAATGAACAACTGTGGCTTTCCTGCCGATTCTGGCACTGTGTGTTTTGTTTTAGTCTGGTGTCGGAAGAAAAGATGTGAAGATATTTTTCCACGACATCAGACTGGCTGTTTCTGAGCGGAAAGATACGAGCTGAACAAGGCTAGGCAGGTAGCGTTAGCTGAGCTACTTTACCATTAGCATCTGTCTGTTTCTTTCTTTCTTTCAATCATTCATTCATTCTTTCTTTTTCTTTCTTTCTCAGCCTTTCATCTCCATCTCTTCTTCTTCTCACACTCAGTATCAGTTCACTAATGTTACCTCTTCACACACTGGCTGTTTCTGAGCTGAAACAGAGCCGGTTTATGAGGAGTCTGACCACTTCCTATTTCCCCCCTTATATTAAAAACAGGACTGCGGAACAGCAGAGGGCGCTCACCAGTGAGTCCTCAATGAATGGGAGTAAATGGAGCTCAATGGCTAAAAACAAAAAGTTAAAATAGTTTCTAATCACTGAACCAGAACTTTCCTTTAATTGTAGAAAGTAGAAGGATGGATTTCACTAAAACAGCAAAGAAAACTCACCTGTATGTTTCATTTATTCTACAGCAAACGGGTTTTGGGCAGCAGAAGGCGGGCATTACAGCTAGTGAGTGCTGATTGGTTGGCGAGCGGAGCAGCTGATTGGCTGTTTGCGCTCACTGACGTCATGAACGTACATGAGGCGCCGTTTTAAACTCCTATAACTTGAGTTTAAAAGCTTCTAAGAATATAACAGCAGTGTTAAAATGATTTATGCTGCTCTGTGTTCAGGAAATGATTTAATTCTTTTGCATTAAAAATGTTTAAACATTTATAAACTATGATTTTGCTCAAATGCTCCATACTAACATTTTTGGACTAACATTCATTTTGGACTCACTCGGGAGCGCCCTCTAGCGTCTGAGAAACCTGGAAGACATTGCAGAGTGGAAATTCTCCTCTCTACAAGTTCTCTGGCTGAGAGATAGCTTAGCTGAGCTAACATACCATTAGCATCCGTTTATGTAATGACTGGCTGTCTAAATTTCGAGCCATGAGTGATCTACTGTTGCTCTCTGTGGTCTCAATATGTCTTCAATTTAACGTAGTGATGACTAAACGCTGCGCGGCGCGCTGAGAGTCATGGAGTGTCGGCGTGTGAACCTCCATTAAAAACAATGGTTTTAAATGTTTGGATGGCACATCCAGTGAGCGGTGGCCTTTAGGCTCATGTGTAGCTGCTCCAGAGTGTCTCATTCTATTGGTCAGTGCTTTTCTATGGAGATTATACAAGCTGGGTCAGCAGTGGGTGACATTAAAGCAGCTGAACTCTCTCAGTAGGACGGTCTGGACACTTTCAAACAGATAGTGTAGATGTTTGGAGAGATGAAGGATTGAGAGGACCCTCTGTACCCGAGTCCGGACGGCATCTTGTGTAACTGTCCTTTCACGTAGAGGAAACGGTTCTTAGAGGCCACGTGGTGATGAGGAACCGGCAGAATCTCGCTCTCCAAACCCAGCTCAGTCAGCTGCGCAGCACAGAGGAGAACATTAGGGAGCAGTTACTGTCTTCATAATAATAATAATAATAATAATAATAATAATAATAATCATGCTGAATTTCAACAAGAATTATTTCTGACTCAGTCTTGTTTTGTGGAAAGAAAACAATGGAAAGCAAACGTAAATAATTTATTATGTAATTATCAATGTAAAAATTATATAATTACATTTAAATTGTGTAACAAAATGGCAATAATAAATGCCTTAAGAAGTTAATATTTTCTACTTGCTGTATGAATAATAAATGAAATTTGATTTACAAAACTGTGCAACAGTCAGTGACCCTTTGTTTATGTAATATCGAGTCAAAACCACCATCATGTTCCAGTTATTCATTTTTCAGTGTTGGGGAAAAAAGCCGAAAACATATTTAACAGAAAATTTCACAACAGCTCACTCTACTCTCAGCTGTGTGAGTCAGTGAGTCACTCTTCTCCTTTATTCCAGCTTCCATTCTGTTCAGGAGCCTCACTTTCAGTTCCTCAAAGAATCTGCAGACACACCTCCAAAGTTCAGTCTTAGAAGCTGGTTGATCATTTTCTGAAGTAATCAAACACATTCAGTGGTGTTGAGGTCTGGACTCTGGGGTGGTCAGTCCATCGTTCAGCTTCTTTGTTTGATGTGTCCGTCTCCTTTTCTCAGTGAGGTTCTTCTTGATCAGCTACACATCCTTTCAGACCCACAGCGCTGAGTGGTCTTCTCACAGTGGAAGGATGGACTGAAACACCTGTGGATGTTTTCAGATCTGATCAGCTTGATTTTCTCCTCTCTCTCAGAGATGAAAGCTTTAAGTGCTGTTTATCTGATGGCGGCAGTTTTGGGGTCGACCAGCTCTTCCAGGTGGTTGTTAGGAGACACATTTTCTCTGTTAATCATTTCTTGAATTCCTGTTTTTTCACTTTGACTTTCTCCTTCTTTATGCAAGTGGATTATCTGATCTAATCTCCTCACAAATATCTTGTAGAAAATCAATAACTTTTACATAACGGCTGTTTTGGCTGTAAATGAAATAAACGAAGGGTCTTTGACTTTTACACAGTACTGTATGAATTTGGTTTAAATAGATTTTTATTATGTATTTTCAAATAAACATCAGTATAAACACCGCAGTGTAAATACAGCACTATAAATACCATGTTTAAGGTGCGTTTCCCCACGGTCCCGGCTGGTCGGACCCCCCGGGGTCCGTGTTCAAACACAGCTCCATCCTCTCTCCGTGTGGAGCTCACCCACCCACCACAGCGTCCACTCGCCTCCAACAGCACCACCTACAGGAACACAGAAGAAGCTCACCCAGCTGCACTGTACAGTTTAGTGTTTCTCTGCTGTTCACCTTGTTCAGCTCAAGAAGGGGTTAATTAGCTAATAATATCAGGTATTTTAACCAGGAAACCACAGTTATGCAGTGCAGGGGTTTCAGGACTGGAGCTGAACTCTGAACTAACTGCACTAGCAAACTTACAGAATCACGTCTGCCGAAACACGACGTCGTTTTCCGACCCACGACATTCAGTCTGATATTTAACGTTTATGTTTCTCCATTCAAACCTCATTTAAATCAGAAACAGAGAGTGAAAGTTATACCGGCGGTCTGCAGCTCCGTCAGGGGGCGACTGTTCATCTCTCGGCTGTTAACATCGGCTAAAGTTCTCTAAAGGCCAGCATTGATCACATCTGTGTTAATTAGCTGATGTCGTTACCCTCTATGATCACAGAGTGTTTCTCCTCTTTATGCAGCACCATGGGATCCTTTACCCACCCTGACGTGAAGAGCTGGTGGGCTTCTGTGCTTTTAAGTGCTGTGAGAGACTCCAGAATAGGGAGGGGCTGAGTATGAGACAAATAAGAATGTCAGGAAAATAAAAATTTGGCAGCTTTTCCGCCAGTTTAAGTGGGACCAGGAGTTCAGGGGAAACTGTATAAGGATCACAAACTGTTTTATCGACTTTGTCGAGGAAACGTTTTTCTCTTCCTGAGTGAGGAGAGTAATTTTAGCCATCTTTCACCTCTAGTTACGTTCGTGCGGAGCAGCGAAGCCAGAAATTGGCAGCCACAACAGAAAAATCACGTAACTGAAACCCTAGGATATTAGCTGCGTAGCTCTTCAGACACAAACACGTCTTGGTTGGGGTAAGGCGGTGGTGGTGGTGGTGGTGGTGGGGTAACCAGATTTTCTCTGAACTATCACTTTAAGCGTCCCACAGAGCCGCTGCAACGGATAAAACGGGTGTAAATGAAGCACCATCATCTCTGCAGCTCTGTAGAGTTTACCTTAGACACTTGTGTGCTCTTGCTGAGGTGGTAGCAGGTGGACAGACCCCCGACACCACCCCCCAGGACAGCCACAGTCTTCTGCATTCAGCTCACGCTCCCACGCACCTGCAAACACAAAGATTCAACACGATTAAAACACATCAGAGAGAAGACAGAGAGCTCCATCAGGACAATACTACAGCTCACGATCGAGACAGAGGCCTTGACCAAGAAATATAATATTAAATCTACCAGTATTTATTTTGTTCACTCTACTGACACTTTAACTCTTCCCGTCTTAAACCCAACCAGTTCCAGATGTGTCCTCCAACAAAACCGTCCCAAAGATCTGACTGACGTTATGTTTAAACAGACACTAACATTCACGCAAAACAGCCACTCAGACTCATCTTAACTCACACATTTGTCTCTCATGAGCATCTAAAATGGCTAAAGGAGACGTTTCTGATTAGATATCACATAATCCACTCGCAGGAGGAGGAAGGAGGAAGGAGGAAGTCGAAGGGAAAAAAAAACAAGAGTTTCCAAAACTGGAGAGAAAATGAGACTCCTAACAACCACCCGCAACACTGTCCCCATCAGATAACCAGCACTTGAAGGGGAATTCCACCGATTTCTCAAAATTTTCTGCATAATTCAGTCTTTGAGATGTGAATAAAGTCATTCAGAGTGGTTTCAATCTGACTGTTAAAGCACACAGTACGGTGGGGAAATTTAACCTCATAACACAGAGCTTGTGAACTGCTTGTAGATGAGTCAGACCGATCAGATCCAGCCAAACCTCCATGTGTTGTGACATCACAACCACAACTTACTGGCCGTCTGACACACTACCTTCAGGGGTCGAGCCTCAATCCAGAAACGATGGGCACAATTAACCACAGTTTAAATTGCATTTGCAATGTTAGTCAGAAAAATCACAATTAGATATTTTACCCAAATCATTCAGCCCTAAAAGAGACTTTACAGTGGTGGTGATAGGAACCAGGGGTCGCCATGACTACAACACAGATATAGACATTTTATTTACTATCCAGAACCACCAGTGAACCTACACGAGTCTTCTGAGTTTATATGGAATGTTGATGATGGAAAATAGTGGAAAATCTGAAATAATCAGTTTTCTTTGGGGACTATTTTGCCTCACAGCGGCCCTGCATGTATCCCTCCACCATGAATGGAGTTTAAGTTCTCTAAACTATCACAAAACAGTGTCTCAGTAATCAGGCAGTGAATTCATAACCATTTCATGTAGGAACTTTCTGTGAGGAGCTTTTAGAGGTGGACGTCTGGTTCCTATCACCACCACTGTGAACAGTTCTGACTAAGTTTATCTAGAACAGAGCGTTTCACACCAAACCACTCTGAATCACTCTGAACCACTCTGAATCACTCTGTTTACATCTTAACCGTTTAATTCTGAGAAGCAGAAAATGATCAACCAGCTTCTAAGACTGAACTTTGGAGGTGTGTCTGCAGATTCTTTGAGGAACTGAAAGTGAGTCTCCTGAAAAGAATGGAAGCTGGAATAAAGGAGAGGAGGAGCGACTCACTGACTCACACAGCTGAGAGTGGATTTAGTCATTGTGTAATTTTCCATTAAAATGTGTTCTGTTTTTTTCCGGACACTGAAAAATTTATAACCTGTACTTTAACTAGAAATTAAAGAAATGAAAGTTCTCTAACTTACAGCTGTACAGTCTAATATGTAATGTATGTGAGTGTTCAGGGTAAATGAGTGGAGGGCGTGTGAGCAGAGCGGTTATATGGGAGGGGGTGATAAAGGGTCAGCCTTTATCTCCTTTATCAGGAGGAAACACAGCATTTTCACTCAGAACAAAAAGAAAAGAGAGAAAACAGTATAAAGGCTCTGTATGGGTTCATTTGTGTACAATATGTCTACAAAACCTACCAATATAAATACTGGGGACAAAAAAAACACAATAACTCTCTAAACATAATTTAATTTAAGCTCTACAATTAGTCCATGATGTCATCTTTGCTATTTAATATTCATTTTTAAAATGAATAACATAAATAAATATGACCTCTTTTCATTGAGTTTATAACATTTGTTCTGTAAAAGTTCCAAGTTTGCTTCCTGTTTGCATTTTTTTAGAACTTTTCCGTTCCACCTTAAATGGTGCAGCAGCTCAGGCGCCAGAACGTCCAGAATGTCACTGCTGCACCATTTAAGGTGGAACGGGAAATTCAAACAGGACCTCAGCCTCGCCACTGACATCCATGTTTATAGGTGTAAAATTCATAAAGATTCATAATAAAAATGCAGTAATAAATATCTGTACCTGTTACAGAGGTGTTTCCCACAGCGCCGTGACTGCAGCGTCTCCTTCTGCTTCTTCAGTTCAGGGGAAAACGCTCATTATCGCCCCCTGCTGCTCTGGAGACGCCATATCATGCACTGTAGGTGTTTCTACAAAGCGGCCAGTTAGTGGACGAAGCACAAGGTAGATGTTTCTAATAAAGTGGCCAGTGAGTGGAAGCACAATGTAGGTGTTTCTAATAAAGTGGCCAGTTAGTGGAAGCACAAGGTAGGTGTTTCGAATAAAGTGGCCAGTTAGTGGAAGCAGAGGGTAGGTGTTTCCAATGAAGTGGCCAATGAGTGGAAGTACAAGGCAGGTGTTTCTAATAAAGTGGCCAGTTAGTGGAGGCACAAGGTAGGTGTTTCTAATAAAGTGGCCAGTTAGTAGAAGTGCCAGGTAGGTGTTTCTAATAAAGTGGCCAGTTATTGGAAGTACAAGTTAGGTGTTTCTAATAAAGTGGCCAGTTAGTGGAAGCCCAAGGTGGGTGTTTATAATAATTTGATGTATATAATCTGTGGCTATACATCCACACGAACACAATAACAGCTAAATCTGTTTTCCAGTCTGAGTTCACGGAGCCTTGCATTATAAATCTGAACCACTAGAGGGCAGCAAAAGAATTGAATTTGAAATGAACCATTTCACACCAAACCTCAACCATTGAAATATGCAGGAATTTTGAAAAGTTGGTGTGATTGCCTTTTAATTTTCTACTACACAGGGTCGTGATTTCCAAAACAAAAATAAAATATGACAAAATAAGGAACATGTGATTCTTTATAAATATAGAGATGAACACAAGTGTGAGGTTTTTATGCCACATTTCTGCTGATTAATGCGCAACAGAATCTAATTAAGAAGCTTAAGTGGTGTAATAAATCAATCATCCACGAGAGGCCGTGCGTCACTGAGATTGTATCACAGGGAAGGGCGTTCTTAGAAAATCAGAAAATAGTTTAAGTTATTATAAATAAGAATCGACGTAGACAAGTATTCCGCCAAGAAATGTAGTTCCTTTGGCGTGCGTGTTGTTGCCAAGCAACCGTGGACCGCTGAATGAGGAAAAGAACGGTCGCCAATCACTGTATGTTGCGGTCATTTCATGATTTTTTAAACTTTTTGTAGTAAAATAATGAACATATGATATCACAGCACTGTTAAATGGAAAAACCTTCACTTTATAATTATAATTATTATATTTTGGTCACTAAATCACCACCGCAAGTCTTATTTAGCACCAATCCAGCCCCTCTTCTCACGCTGGGGTGAGTCTCAAACGGCTCCCTGCTCCCTACATAGTGCACTACATAGGAGATTAAATACTGGATCCTGCAGCCCAACAGAGCAAAATACAGCTAAGAAACAGTCATTTGGGACTCAGACTCATCCACACTCGATACATGATGCACTGTTTGGCTGTAGAGGCTAGAATTGCTAAACTTTCATAGCTAGAACACTATTTAGGGAGTACGGAGCCGTTTGGGATTCAGTCTGGGTTTGAGTGACCTCCGACTGAAACACGGACATTTGAAGTGTGTGAAGACACTCAAATGACATTTTTAGAGTTTTATACTGCAGTTTTACAGTTAATCAGACTGTAAATGCTGTAAATCAAGCCTGTGATATTAATGATAGAGTTGTTTAGCATGTTTGCTATCTTTTATCCTGTTAGCTAGCTGACCAGCCCAGTTTTAGTTAAGAACACAAGTTGTCAGCCCCTCAGTTTAAACAAGAAAACGGGTTCTTACTTCATCAGTTCACTCGGTGCTCCATGCCAGCAGCATAAGAGTCAAATATTACTCCATTAACAGCTTTAATAACTTTACCTCACTCACCGTAACCAGGATCAGTACATATTCTGTCTGACTCAGTGATGAACAGCATACAGTGGAGGATAAACAAACAACCAAACACACAAACACAGGATATTGTACTCAATGTTCATTTAATATGAATAGAAAAACTTATTTATTTAGATATCCAGAAGAATGATAAGCTCCTGTTGGCTGCTCTTCTATATATTACTACATTTTTAAAAAGATTTGTCAAATTTGTAATATATTTACATATTTTTTGACATATGTGTAAATATCAACAACATGTAATTATTACATTCATGGCAAAATATATAAGCATGTATTCAAATATTTAAACATATTTAGCATCAGATAAAACATCGTGTACAGCACATATATTTTATAATGAGCAAATATATGTGCTTATATTTTTCTTCCATGTGGAAGAAACTCGTGAAATTCACTTAAAAATGAAATTAGTTGATCAAAAACTTGATTTGGCCCTTCACTATGTGTTCTTTTGATCGTTTATAAACGTAGACAAGAGTAATGTACTTAGTAATGTTGGCTAACTTGTTAAAACGTGTTTCATTAGCCGACATTAGCTAACGTGCTAATGCTGATATAGACACCAGTTATTTTCTTCTTACTAATGATTGTAGATAGCTGGTTAGCTATTTTGGTAGCTTAGCATCAATGCTAGCTACAGTTGTGGATGTTCAGCTGCTGATAGCTGATCCACGCTGACCAACTTATACTGGAAGTAAGAGTGTGTTTGAGCAGGATTCATCTACTAATCTGAATCTTTTCAGTACGTTTATTTGATAACTGATCATGGATCTCCCGCTGCAGTGTGTGCTGACATCTGTGATCAGTTCATCTGAAAGCACTGCAGGTTTGCTGAACTTGTCGCTGCTGCTCTTGATCACGATCGTTCTGTTAAGCAGTCCACACAAATGGCTTTCTACATTTAAATTCAGATGACTGTGCTTGAAGGAAAAGTTCAGCGAGAAATTTCCTCAAACTTTATCACAAATGTAGTCGATCAGCTGAGGTGTGATTGGAGTCTGATGTTCGCTTCTTCAGTTGTTTTCAGCTACGTATGCGACTGCTAATCTGGCTTGTACAGAAATATCTCTACAGTGGGGTTTGCTCTTATTTCGTCCATCACAGCTTCGTTTGTGGCTTATCCAATCAGTTAGCTACTACAGGTTTGCGCTAGCTCATAAAACAGAGCATTCTGAGCTGAGAACAGCTGGGCCAATGACCTATCACAGGCTGACCACACAGGCTAGACAATTATAGGCTAGCTAATCACAGGTTAACCAAGCACATATTAAGTAATCATAGGATAGTCAATCATAAGATAACCAGTCATAGGCTGACCAATCACAGGTTAACCAATCATAGGCCAACCAATCATAGACTGACCAATTATAGGCTAATCACACAAGTTAACAAATCACAGGTTAATCAATCATAGGATAACCAGTCATAGGCTGACCAATCATAGGGTAACCAGTCATAGACTAACCAATCACAGGTTTATCAATCAAAGGCTAACCAGTCATAGGCTAACCAATCACACAAGTTAACCAATCACAGGTTCACCAATCATAGGCTAACCAGTCACAGGTTAACCAGTCATAGGCTGACCAATCATAGACTGACCAATCATAGGCTAATCACACAAGTTAACAAATTACAGGTTAACCAATCATAGGGTAACCAGTCATAGGCTAACCAGGCACACAAGTTAACCAATCACAGGTTAACCAATCATAGGATAACCAGTCATAGGCTGACCAATCACAGGTTAACCAATCATAGGATAACCAGTCATAGGCTGACCAATCATAGGGTAACCAGTCATAGGCTAACCAATCACAGGTTAACCAATCATAGGATAGCCAGTCATAGGCTGACCAATCATAGGCTAACCAGTCATAGGCTAACCAGGCACACAAGTTAACCAATCACAGGTTAACCAATCATAGGCTAACCAGTCACAGGTTAACCAGTCATAGGCTGACCAATCATAGGCTAATCATACAAGTTAAGCAATCACAGGTTAACCAATAATAGGCTAACTAATCATAGGCTAACCAATCATAGGTTAACAAGCAGGCTAACCAGTCATACACTAGATAATATACTAAATCATTCAATTATAGGCTACAAATTTGATAACTTGTCGGATTTTCCCAGATAGCAGCTGAACGAGAATCCGCTAATCTCGGTTGTTTTTCTTGTCAAAGATGAGACAGAAATATTAGTGTTTTACTCAAATTATATTTCCTCTATTTAAAACAAATTGTAACAACTAGAAATCAAAAAACATTATTTTGTAATTCTGGGACGCCTTGGCTAATTCACTGAGACTCAATGCTAATCCTTGAGGCTTAGCTACCCTGTTTGTTAGCTACATTAGCCTCGTATCTCCAGTGCTAAATCCCACAGAACCAAACCTCAGACCCCAAACATGTCTCGGCTGATCTACTACTGTTTTTATGGTTTCAGTTCAGGGGTCACGGGGTGCAGGTGGCGGTGCGAGGTCGTGACCTCCTGAGGTCGAGTGAAGGCAGTGAGCGTGTGCTGACTGGGCTGGAGGCGGAGTCACTCCACGTGACCCGGTTCCTGAACTTTCTACAGGCCGGAGATTTGGGCACTTTGTACAGGTAAACGTCGTAATGCACCAGAGGACTGCTGGGGGGCAGAATCTTCACACTTTTGGGCAGATGGAGCTCCACGTCGATGGTCATCCGGCCCTGTGGAGATACACACACCAGCACTGGCACACATTCATCCACACTCAGCTAACTTTAGCATCCTAATGAATAACCGACTCTAAATGTAGGTATTGTGATATAAACTGAGTCTGTTCTACAGTTTCTCATTAGGCTGAATGAATAACCGACTCTAAATGTAGGTATTGTGATATAAACTGAGTCTGTTCTACAGTTTCTCATTAGGCTGAATGAATAACTGACTCTAAATGTAGGTATTGTGATATAAACTGAGTCTGTTCTACAGTTTCTCATTAGGCTGAATGAATAACCGACTCTAAATGTAGGTATTGTGATATAAACTGAGTCTGTTCTACAGTTTCTCATTAGGCTGAATGAATAACTGACTCTAAATGTAGGTATTGTGATATAAACTGAGTCTGTTCTGTTATACTGGTTGATATTAGTGGAAACTGTATATCCTTAAAATCAGTATTGGTGGCAAAATTTTCATATTGGTTGTGCCGTAAACTGAAGATGTCCA